TTGGTTTACAGATGAGGAAACTGAGACCCAGAGGAGGAGAAATGGCTTGCCTGTGTCACACAGGTAGTTTATCAACAGCACAAGAACTCCTAAAGTTAAGACCTCTCATACTACATGGGTCCTCCCTTGAACAAATGTTTCTCTTTAAAAAAAAAAGATGCTGAAGAAACATATGGAAATGATGCACTCCCATTTCGGGCGCGTGGCTTGCCTGTGTCACACAGGTAGTTTATCAACAGCACAAGAACTCCTAAAGTTAAGACCTCTCATACCACATGGGTCCTCCCTTGAACAAATGTTTCTCTTTAAAAAAAAAAGATGCTGAAGAAACATATGGAAATGATGCACTCCCATTTCGGGCGCGTGGTAATCTCTGGAAAGGTCAAGGAACGGAATGCTGAGAAACCCCATACTTACTGACACAGAGTCGATGCTCGTTGGGCTGCTAACTGCAAGGTCAGCAGTTCAAAACCACCAGACCCCCATGGGAGAAAGACGAGGCTTTCTACTCCCATAAAGATAAACAGTCTTGGAAACCCACAGGGGCAGTTCTGCTCTGTCCTGTAGGGTTGCTATGAGAACGGAGAGGCAGGAAACCCTAAATCTGAGGGTAGCTTTCCGAAAGTGTCAGGTGACCCTGGGGAAGCCCTTGTGCTCCCAGGCCTGTTTCACTTGCAAAGAAGCAAATCTACAAGAAAAGCAGCTTCTAACCACTTTCCAGCTCTGAAATTACAGGCATCGCCAAGCTCTCCTCTCTGGCTAGTATTTTGTGGCCTCAGATGAATATAAAATAGTAATAATAATAATAATGGGGAGGGCGAGTCTACACCAGCTGGGAAAGAACAAGGAACACTACAATTTTTAGTGAAACCTGAGCCCTGGTTACTGGAATTCAAAAAAGAATCACGGTAATGCTTGGGCAGTTTAACCACCATCCTACAGTTAACAAAAACACATCTGGTTTAACTCTGCTTCCCTCCCCTCCGCCCCCTGCTCCCATCCCCATCTCAAATGCCACCCCTTCACTTGAGAAGTCAACTTAAATGCAAACAATTGATATCATGCCGCAGTGAGGTTGGGACTTTGAGCATGGAAAACTTGAGTTTTTCTGGGAGCAATTATGAAATGTTGGGGCTTGGGGGTGGCACGGGCAAGTGGAAAACCATGGAGAATGATCTTGCCTGTTGTTTGGACGTGGAGCATCAGCTCACAGTTGGTGAGCACGGACTATGTGCGTGGCCCTTTACGTGAACGGGTCTGTAAGACAGGCGGGGCTATTTTCCTTTCAGGGAGGTTCAGAGAGGTTAAGGGACTTGCCTCAGGTCACAGAGCTAAGGATTGGAACCCCAGATGCTGACCCCAAAGCAGTGTTTTTCCTGATGGCTTGGCTTTCATTCCCTTAAGAGGGAGTCCCCTCTGGTCCTTCTAGAAGGTTGGTATTGATGAAGAAAATTGCCACCCAAACCCACTGTCGGTGAGTTGATTACAACTCTCAGAGACCCTACTGGCTGGCTCCATGGGGTTTCTGAAGATGGACATCATTATGGAAGCTGGTTGCCTCCTCCTTCTCCCTCACAGCTGCCGATGGTGCCAAACAGCCCACCCTATGCACCCCAGCCCAACACATAACCCACGGCACCACCTGCACTGCCCCCTGGGAATCCTAACTTCTCAATAGCAATCATAACCCGGGTCAGCCCAATGTCAGAGGGCCTTGTGTGCGCCGGCTGGCCCCCGGTAGCAACCTTGCAAAGTCCATATTTTAACCCGCATGACAGATGTGGAAACTGAGCCCCCAGAGAAGAGAAATGACTTATCTTATCCAGAGCACTCAGCAGTCGACCGCCCCCAGCTGCCCTCTACAAGTGAGGACACGTCCAGAAGGGAAAAAGAACACCATCCGAGGCCAGTGCGGCCTGGGAAGCCGAGTCAGCATTCCTGTGGCCACACAGAGGTTTCGGAGCGCTGGTCCCCAGCCTAGCCTGCTCTCTCCCCCAATGCTCTCTTCAAACTCTGGGTTTTGTATTAACAGCTCCAGTTGGACTTAGTTCAAGGTGAGACCTCCAGGCTATACCCCTGGATGCTTCGCCTCGAGTTAAGAGGCCTGGAGGCGGGATCCAAACCGGACCTGGAATTCTAGACAGCTGGCTTCCAGCCCCAGCCCCCCCAGACAGCATCTGTGTGTCCTTGGCAAGCCACTCTCCATCTGCAAGATGAATTCCTTTACGGATAAAATGAGAGAGACTTGCTTCTTGCTGGCAGAGGCCAGGGGCACACACAGGGTCCGAGTTTGCCATGGCCCAAGCTGGGACACGTTGAAGCACAAGGACAAGCCGAGTGCAGGAGTCACTGCAGAGGGAACTGCCTCAGGGGTGGTCCAGGCACCCAGTTCCGGGCTCCTGGCCTCGGCTGTGCCATTCACCCTGCTGGGCACATCAGGGAACAGGCAGGATCTGGGCCAAGGTGGGTGCTGGGATCACAGGCCTCAAAGGCAGTGACTTAACACTCAGTCAATCCTAGGCTGGCTTTTGCATTGTCTACTTAGATTAGAGATGATTGTACCAGTGTTTTCCGAAGCAGAGGCATTCGATGTTTTGCAGGTATCAATTACATCTAGACTTTAGCCCCAAGATTGATCTCTACAGCTAAACACAAGGCGATGGAGGTACCGAGAGGGAACCTATGCTGTCTTCTTGATGCCGGCTCCTAGCGACCCTGCCGAACAAAATGGGCCAGCCCATAGAGGTGGCTTTATGGCAGCAGATCACCAGGTTTTCGCCCATGGAACCTCTGGGTGGGTTTGAACCTCCAACCTTTCAGTTACCAGCCAGGTGCTTAACAGTTGTACCACCGGGGCACCTTTGATTTGCTGTCTCTACTTAAAAAACCCAGGATCCCTGGTGGTGGAATGGGTTATGCGTTGGACTGCTAATTGCAAGCTCAGCAGTGTGAATCCACCAGCCTCCCTGTGAGAGAAAGAGGAGGCTTCCGGTAGTTCTACCTTGTCCGTAGGGTCGCTAAGAGTCAGGGTGGACTCAACCGTGGAGAGTTCATTTGAAAACCCACTGCCATGAAGTCCAGTGGGACTCATAGCGACCTCTATGGCAGAGTAGAACTGCCCATAGTTTCAAGGCTAATCTATACAGAAGAACAGACGGCCACCTCTCTCTCCTGCAGAGCAGCTGCTGGATTGAAACCTGTTATCAGTTGAGCACCACCAAGAGCAAATGTTAGCTGGTCAATTGTTTATGTTGGTGCCTTTTTTTTTTATCACCTGCCTTGTGAATTGCTTGATTTCAATCTTAAAATGCCAATATTTGACCGTCGACATCAAAGCTGGAAAAACAACTGTATTAGGAATACCACCAGGTCCATGAAGAGAGTTTCCGCCTGCTTGATTTACTGCTGCATTTCCACACCTCGAACAGGCTTGGCACAAAGTTGGTGTTCAAATATTTGTTGAATGAAATGACGTTCTGTCTTTCTGGCCTTCGTGCAGTAGATTCTTCATGATAGTTCTACAGCAGAGGCGTCCTCCCATTTTACAGGCAGCACAATGGATACAAAGAGGGTACAGAAGTTGAGAAGCTGGACCGAGGGCCCTCGCTTGCTCTTCTGCTTTGAGAATTGTGTGGGGTTGCATTCCAGAAGGACAGAGAAGGCCAAGGGATAAGATGGGCAGGGGCAGGAGGGAGCAGGGATGGGGTGGGGGGGGGTGTTGGGGGGGCAAGATCAGGTGTGGTCAGTGTTCTCTGGAGGAATGGGGACTGGAGGGCAGGTCTGGAGGGTGGAGGGAAGTAGCACTGAAGCCAGGGAAGGGCCAGAAGGAAAAAGCCACAGAATAGCAGTGTCCTGGAAAGCCCAAAGGAACCCTGGTGGCGTCGTGCTCACACTTGGGTTGCTAACCATAAGGTCAGCAGTTTGAAACCACCAGCGGCTCCTGTCAGAAAAGACGTGGAAGAGAGTGACAGTGTGGGAAACTCACAGGGGTAGTTCTCACAGGACCCTGTCTACAGGGTGGCTATGAGAAGCCTGTGTCCCTGAGAGGGTGCAAGTCAGGTGTTGGAGCAGGTGGCACCCCGCAGGCATGGCAGTCTGAGAGGGGGAGCCCATCCCTCTCCCTGCTGGGTGGATGGGTTGGAAGCCCACCCACGGGGGGCTTTCCCCCCCGCCTTTCCCAGAGTCCAATGGGGGAATTCCAATGGGAGAATCGCCCCTTCTTTATCTCAAGAGTCCATCCCTGCACCCAGGAGGTCTTTGTGCTGAGCCCTTCCCCCAGTCCCGTTCTGCGTAGAAAGGGGCTCAGAAGGGACAGGGTGGCGGTGAAGCGGAGGCTTTTCTCAGCTTCCCGCCTTATTCCTGTGAACACGCCTTTAACCCATTCTTTCCAGGCCTGGGACGGGAACGAGCGCTGGGCAGCCGATCTCACAATAAGTGGTGCACACCATGAGGGCCGGTGTGCTTAGGGGACAGACACACCGGATCTCCCCTTTTCCTCTCCCCCCACGGCTCCCCGGATCCCAGGGCATCCCCCCCTCAACTCTCCCCAGCTGCAGCCCAAACTTCCCCTGCACACGGGCCAGCCCCCTCCCCTGGCAGCGAGGAGGGACGCAGGAGTTGCGCCTGGAGGTCTGAGACCCCGGAGGGACGAGAGGGGGTTACTATGCCGCAGAGCCCCATGCGGAGGACGGAGGCCAAGGTCGGGGGTCCCAGGCAGCGACCTTGGAGAGGAGACCCAGGGCTGTAGGAGGTCCCGAGCGCTGTCCCTTAGCTCGCCGGCTTCGCGAACGTCACGTCCAACCTTTATCTTGGCCTAGCGCGCCCGCCGGGGGCCTGGGATGCGCACGTGGAGGGACGCCGGACAAGTGGCAGGGGCCCTGCGCGGGAATGAGGGCGCGGAGGCCCCCCGCTCTGCCATTTGTACCCAACCTCGCCGCTAACCCGAGAGGGCCCAGGAGGCCACCACACACCCAGGGGCCCGCCAGGTTCTTACTTGCGCAGAGTTCGCGGGTGAGGATCTGTCCTGGCGTAA